ATATATATATATATATATATATATATATATATATATATATATATATATATATATATAAAATACTGTTTTGACTTTACGATTATGTTATATTTTAACGCTAATCTGATATGTTTTCGCTTTCATTTAAAAGTGGATTTTTAAAAATATTTTTACCAAAGACGGTTACACCCACTGCTCTCAAGTCATGCATGTTGTCACCGAGGTCGCTGACAGATGTCTTTATCAGAGAAACCACCCGACCCGCTTCCGAAGCAAGGGTATTGAATAAACATCTTAAAAGAACCCCACCTAAAAGATCAAATTCATTTCTCTCTGAATATTACTTTCGAAAGAATTAAATAATCGAAAATTTCAAATGAGACATATTCTGTCGAAATATCTGAGATAAAATCTTTAAATGATTCATCTTTCTCCACTTTTCCTTTTGGATTAATTTTAATGTTATAGTCGCTTTTGCTTTCTACGGTTGTGAAAGTCATCGGAAACAAAGACTTATCCTCAGGCATTGTTTGAACTCTTTTATCTTTCGAAGACATATGACTAAATTAGTTCATTGTATGTTGATTAGTTTCAGTGATACAATCAGTAAAGAATGAACGATGTTAGAAAGATTAGTTAACGACTAGTTTCTTATAGAAAGCTTTTACATTCAGTTAGTTATGTGCCATACATGATCTTTCGATACATGATTGAGAAAGCAGATTTTTTTCCCGCATTAGGTTGCCATTTCTTTCTGCCAGTCTGTTTTGCTATTTACAAGAAGAATAGATTTCATACTTTCCCCAAGGGTATTAGCACGCAAATGAATGTAATGGATTCGACTGAAATTCGAACTCGGCTCTCCGATTCCTCAGTCCGAGCCGCTATCCATTACTCCACCTTGCTTTGACATTATAATTGTTTAAATAGTTTTCCTCCTGCTGCAGCTGATTTTTATCTCACACTCAGCTCCTTCTTATTTTTAGCATATTATATCCACATCCCCTTTTACGACCTAAACAATATCAAACTGAGAAAATGAAAAGTATATATATATATATATATATATATATATATATAGTATAGTATAGTATGCACGGTGGAGTAGTGGATTTCGGCTCGTATTGTGCTAATACCCTTGGGAAAGGTATTAATCCTCTTCTCCCTTCAGCTCTGGGGAGATAGCAGGACAGACTTGGTTCTATAGCCTTGGATGGAAACAGGTCTAGGAGAAGGACAACTCTGAATTCCAAACGTGCGGAGGTTTGTTTGAACACCTTGTGGCACGTAGTGCACCAGGTCTCTGTATTCAAGCCATCAAAAAGTGTCCTTGGTTTTACACAGAGCCGTCACCACTATAATCAAGTCATATGTGCTGGCGTCTAGCTGTCGGTTCCTAGGAACTTAGCTACTTGACCCGCATACGTCGAATACGACGGAAGAGTCCACCATTATCTCTCTCTCTCTCTCTCTCTCTCTCTCTCTCTCTATATATATATATATATATATATATATATATATATATATGGGTACTTTTTGGAAAGAGCTCAATATCAGTGATAGAGTTAACATATTTAGTTGTATGGATATGTTTGTTGACCCTGGGTTTCACACATTTTGCGATCATCATGAGTTTGTCTGGTGATCGCAAAATCGTGAAACCCAGAGTCACAAACTCATATCCATACAATTGAATATCCATAGCATTGAATATATATATATATATATATATATATATATATATGTGTGTGTGTGTGTGTGTGTGTGTGTGTGTGTTCCGTACTGATTACATCAATACCCTTTCGTTCGACTTTGTTTTATTAACCAATTCATCTACTCCATTTTCTCTCTCTCTCCCTCTCTCTCTCTCTCTATATATATATATATATACACACACACACACACACACACACATATATATATATATATATATACACACACACACACACGAGCGATACATGAAGAAGAGACATAAATTATCTAGGTAACAAATGTTCATTCATACAAATTTTGTTAACTGTGGCAGTATATCATATTACAATTCTTCTTGTTTCTTTATTAGTAAGTTAGTAAGTTAGTACGTGTGTTAGTCTCTATTGAGCAGTTATCAGGAGATTTATTGCGATAAATAATATGGTAAGTATACACATTTAAGCGGTGTTATGCAAACACATCAAACTATAATTTACCAAGTTTCTCTCTTATCGTCTTAAATTATCTGAAATAGTTTGTGTTTAATTGCCTAACTTTATATTATAGCGCGCAGTCCATATGTTAGGAAAATATGTCATCCCGAAATGATCAGGTTCAATAGGTATTTACTCGTTTCCTCACAGCGAAGTGATGTCACACAAGGTCGGGTTTAACGGGTGATACCCGAGCGCTTACACACGGGCCAGGGCCAAAAATTGTGCAGCCCCCTCAATCGTCGTTTGCGCTGGCATCGATGACTATCGATCTCCCGTCTTTAGTGTGTGTGTGTGTGTAGTGGGAATACTACCGAGGGATGCTGTTCCCTGGGACCGGGAATCTCTCAGTATTTTCCCCAGCTGCATCTCTGTATGATTAGTTTCAGCAATAAAAAAACAAAAACTGTAGTATTTCCAAGGATCATGTTATACATGATTAAAGGAATAGACCTTCTGAAAACCTGTCTGAAACATGTTGAGATATTAAAACACATTTTGTGGCATTTTTGCTACCTATTTTATATAAATTGAAGTGTTGAAAGCTTTCATTGGCGTTAAAAAAGATTGATTGATTCGTTTTCTAGGGCTTATCATCCCATTTCAGGTTATTTCGAGACAGAAGAAAAATTTAAGTTCTGAGAATTTTTTTGAGATAATAATGATTTTAGTGATACATCTTACTAATTAACCCATAGCTGGAGGGACAAATTCCTACCTTTCCGCAGGATATTTACGCGTAAGTGAATATTACGAATCCAATTGAAATTGGAGCACGGTTCTCCAATTAACAATCCCTTATACTAAGCGCACATCCAAGGTTACAGCACCTGATATTCCCATGCTGTCACCCATTACTGGCCGTGCTTAACTTTGCTTAACTTCAGTGTGTCAGCACTATATTGCCGTAAGCGTTTAGTAGTAAAAAGATGAATTGCACATCCACTTCTAGGTTAGTAAATATAAGACTTCAAGTAGACAACTCGATATAGTGAAATGTTTAACAAGCGTGTCTCGCTAGATCAATTACAACTACGTTGTGAGTTGGCTTTTTGGTTGTTCCATACTTTAAGCCTTCTGCAACATCTAACCTGCGCTTAGTAAATACTGAAAAAGTCTCCAGGTTCCTGCTAGTAGTATATATTTTAATAAACTTCTAGGTATATTAATTAGTATATCTTGGCAATGAAGATGCAATGGAACTATTCACAGTTCATATCGGCTCCTGTTAAGTTTCCGTGTTTTCGGCTGGCTTCAGTCATTATCAAGAAAGAAAGAAAATAGAAGAAATTTAAATTATGTTGAAATTTAATTTATGTTGTAACTGGCAGCATCTGTGGAATGGCTTAGAGTTAAGACAAAAGGTGAATACTTGTATTTGAATATATATATATATATATATATATATATATATATAATATATATATATATATATAAGATAAGGTAAAATTATCTTAGCTGATGGACTTTATCAAGGCAAATGTACGGATTTTATTTTGCAAAACTATTTATAAACAAAAGTAAAAAATGTCGTTAGTTTTTCAGAATTAATAAATTTCAGAACGCTCATAAATATACTTCAAGCTAACTGAAAGTCAAGGTAAATTATGGAAGATGCTAAGTGAAGTAATTTAATGTCTAACTAAATTGAGTAAATGACATTGCTGTTGCTTAGTTTTTGTAACGTAATTATTATTTATATTATTTTAGTTTGAGATTAATTTATGTATTATATATTTTCAGTAATAGGATATTTTGAATTTAACTTTTTTCTTTTAATTAAAAAATATAATCATATTGGGAAATATATACATATAAAGAGTGTTTCATTAAGACGGATTATATATAAGTGTGTTTCATTAAGATGGATCAAAGTCAGCAGTGAATAAATCAGTGTTATTTGTGAAAATTTATTTACTTCTCTATTGGATCATGTTATTTAAGTCATGACAATTATGTGTGAAAAATAATATCGCCCAAATATCCGCCAAATCTGAAAGAAAAAGAAAAAAATCATTAGACACTTAAACATAATTCATATTAAAATCGGTCAAAATTAATGCATACTTTATATGCATATATAGATGCACTTTATATATATATATATATATATATATATATATATATATGTGTGTGTGTGTGTGTGTGTGTGTGTGTGTGTGTGAAAATATATAGAAAATAGGAAGGAACTGGTTAGGTAAATAATCCAAAGTCCCTTAGTATTTTAGTTATTATTTTTTTAAAATAGTGCTCGATACAAAAGTAGAGCATAAATATAATTATTTATTTAAAAATATGATTCCAAAACGCGACATAAGAAGTCTCATGTTTCAAAA